ACAATTTGTAATTGCTAAATTGTGGAAGCAACCCAAATGTCCATCCACTGAGGACTGGATAAGAAAATTGTGATACTTTTATATAATGGAATATTACTCAGCTATAAAGCAAGATAAACTCGAGGCTTTTACAGGTAAATGGTCACAACTATAGACCATACTCTTAAGTGAAATAAATCAGACCTCCATGTGTAAGCAATGTATTGTCTCACTAGTGTAAGACCTGAAAGAGTGAATAAAAATTAGGAGATATGATAGGCATTGTGAAACAAAAGGAAGATGCTCAAAACTAAAGAAGAACTGGGGTGAGGGAACAAAGAAAAGAAAGAAGGGGAAGTTATGTATGTATGTATATACAGGATAGCTAACATAGCTGTACTACTGACTTCTATTGCTTTACTGAAAGGAACACTTAATGATTAATTATTTGATCAATCTTGCATGTCTCTATTTGTTTTCCTGAGAAACCACTTTGAAGATATTGATATGTAATATAATAACCACTGTTAATTTCCTACCACTTTGTCTGTAAGTCTGTATTGCACGTACTTTTCTTATGCTGTTTTGTAAATGGATGTCTCTCAATATGTTTTCCTTCTTTTATTCTTAAAGTAAATTTTTTAAAAAGTCTTACAATTATTTGTCCCAAATAGTACACTGTTTTATTTTTAACTATTAACTCAAACATTGAGGATTTAGAGCAGTAACTGTGAGTTTCTGTTACCACATCATCATATCATAAAAATGTTGAGCTATATTTAATACTTGAATCAACATTCTGGTTAATATACTGGTAATAAGTATGGAACTGAGACCAAGACCAGTGAAGCTCAAACTAAGGGAGCTAAGGAAGCAAGGAGAAGTCACTGTGCTTGGAGGGCTTCCTGAAAGACAATTGGTCATGTCCTGAGTCAGGACTCATGGATTTGGAAGCCAAGTTGGTCGAGCAGGATGGGGCCTGGGCAGTGCAATCAGGCACAGCCGTGTCAGCAAAGGAGCCAATACAGCTCGTCTGCCAGATAGATGGGGGCTCAGCAGGCAGCAGAGGAGTGGGTTTGGAGGGCCGGGAAGATGCGGACACTAAGGCTGAGTCAGGGGGCAGCGATGTAAGAGGATGCATTTGCCTGTGGACGGCAAAGGACAATAGAGACAATTAAGACCAACTCTGAAACAGGAACTGACTCCTAGCATGGTCAAGGAGTCTCAGATGCTTGTTTAGGGTGTTGGCCAGTGGTTTTTTTCCCTCTCTTTAAAAGAATGAAAACACATAGAAGTATCTTAAGATAATAAAAAATATCTCAAGACCAAGGCAAAAGTGACATTGCCCTGTGAGCATGCTCTCAGAATGCAAATATTTATGGTAGGAATGCTCATTTTCCTCAATACTGAAAATCAACAAAATGAAACATAATGATAATCTGTTTGTTAAAATGATGATTATTTATATATCTCTGAATATCTATCTACATAAAACCTCAGTATTATTTCCATGCTGCACACTTCAGAACGTAGGTATCAGTTTGATGAAATAAACTTTAGTGAGAAATATACACACATATGACTTCAAATAGTTTTTCCTTCACAGACGGGAAGATCAAGAGATGGAGGGAGAGGGAGGAGAGGGGAAGTAAAAAGGATTAAGACGTTATGCACATGAGCCAGCTGCCCATGATGAGCGTAACCATGTACTGCAAACGTGTACTAATAGAAGGAAAAACAAAATTATTTTAAAAATAGAAAAAAAAATTTTTGAAGCACATAAAGTATGACTGTGATTGTGCCCATGAGAACTTGAGATCTGGTAAAGAAAGTAGAAAGGTCTTCAACTAAAAGGCCTGAGAAAGTAAAGAAGTTTCTAAACCACCTGAATTTCTATAGATAATTATGCAGATCAATCTATATGAGTCTTTAAAAGCTGGGGTTTCTGTAGAAAGACTTCATGTAAACTAGAGATTTTCAGATATTCTGGGAAAAAATTTTTAATTAAAATGAGAAGCAAGTGTGTCCTCTTAAATTGTAATTCTGGTTTTTGCTGTTAAATTAAGAATTTTTTAAGGCAGGGCATGGTGGTGCACGCTGGTAACCCCAGCACTCAGGAGACTGAGGCAGGAGGATCACTGCGAGTTCAAGGCCAACCTAAACTGCATAGTGAAAACCTGCCTCAAAAAAAAAAAAAAAAAAGAATTATTTTTCAAGGCTAGGGATTGAATCCAGTTTTTGCACTGAGCTACCTTCCTAAAACTTTTGCATTTTTATGTTTAGATAGTATCTCACTAAATTGCCTAGGGAGGTTTCAAACTTATTTCTGCCTCAGCCTCCCAGAATGTTAGAATTACAGTCATGAGCCACTATGACCACCTAAATTCTTAATTTATGCCAGCATTCTGAGACAAGGGGATTGCAAGGTAGAGCCCAGCCTGGACAATTTAGCAATTTACAGACATCTTGTCCCAAAAGAAAATAAAAAGTTAAAAAGCTGGTGATATAGTTCAGTGTGAAGTTTCTGTGTTCACTTCCTGGTGTAGAAAAAAATCATGGAGGTAAAAATTTCAATCCACAGGCCCACTTACGCGCTAAAAGAAATGTTCTATTTCTACAGCAACATCTTTTGCATTTGGGAGAGTTCATTAGATGAAGGACTGAAGCTTAACTTTAGCGTTCGGCCGCATCATTTTATTCAGCGTGGTATCTGTGTTATGGAGCCTTAAAAGCCCAGGTCAAAAGTGAAAGAAAAGAACGTGGGTGTCGTTGCTGTCTTTCTGTTGCCCGTGGACCGGCAGCCAGCAACGCAGCTCTGCCCCTCTGGCCATTGGCTGTTTTCTCCTTACAGACCTTTTGTCCTGCCCATAAGCTTGCTTTGTACCACCGGCTCATTTTTCCATCTCCAGGACTCACAAAAGGTATTTCCTGGTTCCAAGCCGAGTCAAGACTGCAGGCACAGGGAGCACTTTGCAAATGTTCCTATTTTTCTTTGCTAAAGGCCTAGAAACAGACCTCTGGATAGTATGTTGAGGGAGTGTTTACGTGTATAAGAAATTGTCAAACTGGTTTGCTTAGTGGTTGTATCGTTGGATGTCTCACCAGCAGCATATGGATTTGGACTTCTGCAGCTCCTTGCCAGTCTCGGTACTGTAAGTCTTTTGAATTTTAATCATTCTAGGACATGTGGAATCTTACTGTGGCTAAATTTCCATTTTCTTAATGATTAATGATGGGAAACTTTTCATGGCTTATTTTCCCATCAACACGTCAACAGTTTGTTTACATTTCCTATATTATATCATTTGTGATACTATCATACATTTGTTCAACATATGCTGATTCCCACAATACATTGTTACCTTTTTATTTAGAGTCAACTATAAGGACATTAAAAATATAAAATATACTTCATACTTGTTTTCCTTCTGCCTCTAGTGTCTTACTTTCACTGAAGAACTCCTTTTGACACTGAGTATAGCTCAGGCTGTGGGCAATAAATTTTATTAAGATTGATTGGTAAGAAAAGTGTTTATTTTCCTTAATTTTTAAAAAGATTTTTCTCTTGGCATGGTAATATGCGCTGATGTGACACTTTTCACCCTTTACGATGTCCCTTTGTTGTCTTCTGCCATACACAGTTTCTGAGAAGCAGTTTGCTGTATTCTTATATTTTTTGTTCTGAAAAAGAAAAACCTCTGCATCTCATCTGTGAGGATTTTTGGACAAGATGTGTTTCTTGTTCCAACCTCAGCAGGTGAATCCTTTGCTTTTGTACCAGCACAAGATACTTGCCCTCAACAAATCCCCTCCCCTTTTCCCAAAGGTAGATAGGTGCTTTTTGCATCTACCTCCTAAATGAAAATGAAAACTGTCATGGGCTCATTTTCAAGTGGGCTTTTCTTGCTTGCACGTCTGTGGTTTGTAATGTAAATCTAAAAATTTAGTACAGCTTGGAGGCCCAGGAATTGTAAGACAAAGATTCTTACATGATCCTTGCTCATGTCCATGCTGTTATAATTAACTGTTCTGGTTCAATTTCTAAACATCTTAATAACATTTTTAAAGAAAGTTATGTAAGCAAATGTATTTTTAATGTGCACCAGAGATTTCCCAAGATTTCTCTGAGGGCAGCACCTTAACATTTACTGTGTGAAATGCAAAATGAACACGAGGTTGACTCCAACCCTGCCTCATACTCCGTATGTCAGTTTCAGCCGTGGCCCTCTTATCACTAAGGCAGGTCCCGCTCAGCCTCCCTGGATATGAGAAGCACCGCAGACCCTTCTCTAGCACTTGGTCTGCATGTGAATTTGAAAGTAGATAAGATGCAAATGCATTAAGTTCTGCATATGTAATTTTAGTATTACTAAAGGCCAGTGCCAGTCTTTAAAAGCATTTTCTGACTTCTGAATAGATTGCCCCACATCACAGTTTCCCTCTTTCAATTCTCTTCTTGAGAGAAAACAACAGGATTAACTTCTGAGTAATCTTCCTTCATTACTTTTTTCTTTTTTTTTTTGGCTGTGTCTTAGATTAAGGTTCATAGTCACATAGCTTTAATCTTATAAAAACATAAGATTCTTATTTAGTCACATATCTTATAATATTATAAAAATATCTCTTTAATTTTTTCACATACCCACTAAAAAACCATCTCATTAAAATTCTTAGAGTTAATTCTGAAAGGAAAAAAATACAGGCTGGCCTTTGTGATTTTCTTTTCTTTTCTTTTTCTTCTTTCTTTTTTTTTTTATGGTACTAGGAATCAAACTCACGACCTCACTTGCCAGGCTGGCACTGTCCTGCTGAGATACATTCCCGAGCCCTGTGCTTTTTTTCAATGGCAAATGAGCAGAGCAGCGTGAAGATGGTGTGGATGAAGGAAAGGTCTTTCAAAAGCCAGGGTTGGAAGATGAGTCTTTTCACATATTCATCATAACCACAAATTTTAGCCATAAACTTCCCTGAGAAAGTCAAAGATCCTTCTAAATAACTAAAAAACAATTTCAGATCACTTTTTAGTCACTATATTTTCGTTTTGATAGTTATGTGACCTTGGCAATTTTTTAAAACACTGTGTTTCCATGTGTGTTGTCTAAAAAATACTCTAATATTTGTGCCTACTGCAGAGATTTTTGTGTAGATTAAATGATAAAGGGCTTGCAAAGTGTTCAGCAGTGCTAAACTCTAAATGAATGTGCTGTTTTTACCAAAAGGGTAACTGAGAAGGGGTTGAGCAGTGCAGGAGCAAAAAATGAATCATTCTACAAACTGAGAAATACGTTGTGTGTACAGTGGGAGACTGGAGGAAGGCAGAGGAATACACAAGGGGATGATGAAAGACCTAAGATGGATGGCAAAGGCCCTGCAAATACGGTAGAAGATATATGGCAGAATATGCTCGTATTTTCTCAGGCACTATCCTGACTGTTCTATCTTTTTTTTTGGTGCTAGGATTAAATCCAGAACCTTCACATTCAGTTATATCCCCAGCCTTTTTATTATTTTTTTTGAGTCATAATCTCACTGTATCAGCCAGTGCTCACTTGAGAAATAGACCTAATGCAAGATATACAAATATATATAGGAATTTACAAAATTGCCTTACAACGGCGGCCCAGAGTCAGACGTTGAAGAGTGCGAAAGACCTGGCTGCATGCTGGAGACCCGAAGGAGCCAGTCAAAGGCCTGGAGCTCCCTGTAGTGTCCCAGGCCAGTCTGTATCAGGAGGCTGAAGGGTCTGTGCTGGAAGCCAGGAGAGAACATCTAAGGCGAAGGTGAAGACAAGCTCTTTCTAAGGACCAGAAGCGAGGCTTCCTTCTTCACTTCCCTTTCATACAATTCCTTGCAATAATCTTCTGTAGGCTGGGCCTTCCACACCCGGGACTATGCTGAGCCTATTTGGTTGAGCATAACTGACTCAAATTGACACAGCCAGCTATCACACTCACTCAGCCACTAAATTTCCCAGATTGGACTCTTTAACTCCTGATCTTCCTGCGTCAGCCCAGGATTACAAGTGTGGGTCACCACACTCAAGTTCTTCTGTCACTCCGAAATGTGCAATTGACTCATGTCAAAAGAGAATAAAAATGAAACCACGCCATCATTTTTCAGTAATGGTCACCAATGTTATTTCCCACCCTGCTGACGAACTTCCATAACACAAGCAAATTCTGTAATGCCTTGGTTATGTTAATTATTAACACTGTGTCACTTAGGGTCCTTAGAACTCAGTCCTGTTCATTTTGGAATTATAGTCTCATAAAGATTTAAAGATTTTTGTGCTCACTTTCCTTTTGCTCAGGAAGGAGGACGAGGCCGTGCTCAGGTCCTCAGGTATACCCCTTGGTCCATGTGTCTCTCTGAGTGTGAAAGAGAGATGGGAAGCAGAAGACAAGGAAAGGTACACCAGGGCAATGCCAGCCCCGCTGAATGGCCGCACAATGATTTGGGAAGCTGAACAGTGCTCCACAGGTCTCATTTATAAGCAGTTTGCTCTTACACTCCTGGGAGTGATCAGCTGTGCCATTTAACCACATCTCAATCCCCCATGCTGTCCGCCTCCCAGTGGGTAATTATTAAAGTTTTATTTTTAAGACATGGTTGTATTCACATGCATTTGTGTCTTGGTTATTTTTCCTTCGTTGCTGAGACAAAATACCTGATGCCAAGAATTAAGGAAGGAAAGGTTTATGTAGCTCACAGTTTGTGGAGGTTTCAGTACATACTCATTGGCAGCAAGGCAGGGTAGCATGTTAATAATTAACATAACTAAGATATTATGGAATTTGCTTGTGTTATGGAAGTCCATCAACCAGGTGGGAAACAACATTGGTGACCATTACTGAAAAATGATGACATGGTTTCATTTTTCTTCTCTAATGAATGGCTATTTTGACATGAGTCAATTACACATTTAGGAGTGACAGAAGAATTGAATGTGGTAATCCACACCTGTAATGCCAGGATGGCACAGAAGCAACAGTTCAAGGCGGCAGAAGACAGCAAAAGCAGCAAGAGCAAAAGGGGCGGAAGAGTAAGCCTCTTTTCCTTCCTTATACCCTAAGCAGGCTACCACCCCTAAGGCAGGTGCAGCACTCACACCATCTCAGCGCCCACACCATCTCAGCGTCCGACTCTTACACAGGGTGATGATGCTTACAAAATAAGGACCCTGGCTCCCTGCTGAGTTCCTTAAACTTCTAAACTTCTCCAGGTGACACAATCAACTGTTACAATCTATAAGGAATGACACAGGTAAACTTCTTTCACTACTGTTCATTACCCCATTGCAAAGCAACGGTATATTATCACAACCAGGATACATAACAAGAATACATGACATGAAAAAAAAAAATACATGGCATGATGCATGTCAAGAATATATGTAAAATACAATCAAGACAAGAAACATTTCCATTACCACTAAGACCCATCATGTTGCCATTTTATAGAAATGTCAGCATCCTTCATTTTCCTACCAGCTTTCTAATCCCTGGCAACACCTAATCCGTTTCCTAAGTCATTAACTCTTTTATTTCACAAATGTTATATCATGTTTTGACAAATATGCCAGAAAATCCAATGGGGCAGAATAATCTCTTCAATAAGAGAGGTAGGAATAACTGGATATCCACCTACAAAATGGAACCCCTTCTTAGCACCAAAATGTTAGATATGAGTCAAAAATACAGGCAAATAAAGGAAATCATAGATAAGGTAGATTTCAACCAAAACATTTTTTTATGGGCTGGGGATATAACTCAGTGGCATAAGCCCTAGCCTGGCAAGCACAGGTTCTTAAGTTTGATCCCTGGTACCGCAAAAAAAAAAAAAAAAATTTATTCAAAAATTAGAGCAGAGCTGGGGATATAGCTCAGTGGCACAAGCACCTGCCTGGCAAGCACAAGGTCTTGAGTTCAATTCCAAGTACCAAAAAAAAAAAAAAAATCACAGTAGAAAGAAAGTGAAAATAAAACCCACAAAATAGGAGAAAATATTTGCAAACCCTATATCTATTAATATAAGTCTAGTATCCAGAATGTATAAACTCAATAATAAACAGATAAAATTCAATTAAAATAGGCAAAACTTTTTATTAGTAACATATTTGTAGTACATATGTTACAATCCATGTGGAAAATTG